TTTTATCTCTCCTTTATTAAATTTTCGATTTTTATGTTAATTCTAATTCTTTGCACTATTTCTTGTCTAAATCTTCTAAAATTTTTATTTTAATTTAATTTGACACATAATCATCCTTTTAATTTTCGATTCAAATCCTTATCCTCTTCATTATTTTTCAATATTTTTATCGTAATTTGTAAAATTCGTTCTTTTATAGCTGTTTAAATAATCCAAAACCATGATATTTATTATTGTTAATTATTCCTAATCATGTTTTTTCCATTAATTTTAATTTTTTTTTTCTGAACCATTTAAATTAATTTTGTTAAGAATATTTTTCAATATAGACTTCTGAAATAATTAAATTATTCTCAAATTCTCACAAATTATTTCATTTCAAATTTGTTTAAAATGAATTTGTACACCTTAGTTGATTCAGCTTATCTTGAAACAGCTCTAGCACAGATTCAAAGGCGCACACCGTTAGCCATTGTTCTCACAAATGTTCCATTAGTCAACAACACTATTCGTTCATCAATTAACAAGATAACATTTTACAAAGCTCTCTTATGTAATAGACTAATTACTATTGAAGAGTACTTACATCATACATACAAACTTCAAGAGTTTACTACTTTCTACATTAAATATAATAATCGACTCTACGAGTGTTCATCCATTTTGAAACACAGATATGACACTCTCCTTACCGATTATTTGATATTACAAAGTTCAAACGACTCTCGTATACAGGAAGAACCCTCATCAGCCAGCACTCCTCTACAACGCCAGCTTTCATCAGCCAGCACTACCAACTCTGTTCCACAGCCACAACTCTCTGCCAGCACTCCCCCACAACGCCAGCTCTCAACAGCCAACGCTCCTCTTCAACGCCAGCTTTCATTAGCCAGCAGTACCAACACTCCCCCATAGCCACAACTCTCTGCCAACACTCATCTTCAACGCCAGCTCTCTGCCAACACCTCGGCAGAGCAACAACTCTCTGCCAATACTCAGCCTCAGCCTCACCCATCTGTGTCTATTCCCCTTAAGCGCGGGAGACCCAAAGTTAATGTACCAAAAGATCTTAAGGTAACTATTAGAAACCTAATTGAGCAGCATGGCCATCTTGGAATAATCTCCGCCTATAACCAAATAAATAAAGATATCGAATATGCCAAATCTCATTTTGAGGCATTTTTGGACATGAAGACGGGTATTGTTCCACAGCCAACGCCTACCCAAGCATGGTTCTCCGCTATTGAACGTTTTAAGCCCCTGAATATATCATGCCGAAATGCATCACTAGCAAAAGTGACATTTGGCGCCAATTTTAAATTAGTGGATTTTGTGTTTATTATTTAAAAAATATAATTGATAAAATATAATTAACATTAATAGAATAATATGGATAAGATTTGATAAAAAACAATCATAAATTTTTTGGGCGCCATATAGAGAACTATGGTCTGCGAGGTACATGGATAGAATCAGTACCTTGCAGACTATAGTTCTCAGCCAAAATGGCTGAAAATTGCTCACAATTGTTGAAATTGTGAGCAATTTTTAGCCGTTTTGACTAAGAATTGGAGGGTGTGAGTACTATAGCATGTAATAGTATCTCACACCCTCCAATTCTTCCTATGGCGGCGAAAAATTTTTGGTGAAATGCGACGACATTTCACCAAAAATTTTCGGCGCCATATAGAGAACTATAGTCTGCGAGGTACTGATTCTATCCATGTACCTCGCAGACCATAGTTCTCAGCCAAAATGCCTCTAAAATTTGTATACCTATAAACTCAAACTTCAATATATTCAATTTTATTTTTATAATTAATTTAAATATATCCATATAATTCTAATGTTTTCTTTTAATTTAAAAAATAATAATAATAATTAAAAATAAAAATAAAAATAAAAATAAACTTTTCTATAATATTTATAAAGCTGATTTGATATATAATACATTGTTAATTTGTGTTAAAAATTAGATTTTATTTTCGATTTTAAATTATTACCCAATTAATTTTTTTGATTGGCTCTCCTCTCGCGGAAATGTTGAAGAGAAATCCTCAAATCCTTAATTTCTCCATCAACTTTCCAAAGGGGTTCTTTGGTGGTATCATATTTTTCGCTGATATCATAAAATTTGTTTGGTGTAAACCAGGTATGTATTTCTGGATTTCTTGGTAACTGTGTATGTGGTGTTGCGTTATAATTTTCGATTAAATTTTGAATTTGATCCCAAGCTACCTCATCAACTTGAATATTCTGCCAAAATCTTTCGATTTTGCCATTCATGTAAGGGCAGTGTGGTATTATCGTGATTGATTCGACGTTTGCATTTTTTAATAAATTTTTGAAAACACCGTAGTTTTCAAGCCCATTGTCACTCCATATGGCAAACGGTTTGCCATATACATCGAAACATTGTTGAATGACACAACTTGTTTGTGCCGCTTCTTTAGTTTCGAGATGTGACCAAGCCAAAATGGTACGTGATTTATCGTCAATAACGGCATATAGATATTCACCTTGGCGATGATTTAAAAAGTGAATATCTACATGCCATATTTCATTAACGTAAAAAGCTTCGTATTTTGTTTGACCTTTTGCCTTTGAATTTTTTGGCGGTTGTGCAAGATTGAGAAGTTTGAAACATTTATTAACAGTTCTTTCGGAAAATTGAATGTTCAATAATTTACGGTCAAAATAATCTGTAATTTTTTCAAATGTTGAAGTTGTATTTGTGTGTATTGAATATGGGTCATCTTCTGAATTTATATCCGACTCTGTATCAATTGAATTTGGACTTGATGAAAATAATTCTTCGGCTGATGAATCGTCGGAATTTGAAGAGATTTCTGATGATAACTGTTCAGATGAACTTGAAATGTCAAGAGAACTGTAATCAAACTCTGAATTTTGATTCCGTTGAGACAATCGTGGAATTGGAAAATGAATTTGAATATTTTGTTGATTTTGCATTTGCGATTCAAGTATCATTTGACGATCTGTTATAATTCGGCCGAAAGCCTGGGAAATTCCTATTTTTTTGAACTTTATTATGTAAATTTTGGACAGTATTTATTAATTCTTGTGGTGGATCTTTTGGTTTTGGACCTGTACGTAATTTTGGAATTTCAATTTGATTGAAATTAAGAGCGTTTTTAAAAGTTTTATGTGATATTGTGGGAAAAATTCTTCCATCTGTTAAAGGGACATTTTGGAGAACGGTTTCGACGTTAATACCGCTTTGAATTTGTTGATTAGCTTGATTTAACCATTCTAAATCAATTAAATCGAAGATTCTACCACTCATTTGAAAATTATAAGTTTTGAAAAAAAACGTAAATCATTATTGAATCTAAAAATATTTATGTACAAAAAGTCGGTATATATTCTACAATTATTTAAAATAATGAAAAAGTTGATTTGTGAATCATTGAAATATTAATGCTGTTATATATATATATCAGATGATATAAGATGATTTTTTTAAATAAAAAATAAAATTTAATTTTTTAATTGTTAAAATAAGAATAGTAAGCTTGACAAGTAATTTAAGTTTTTGCTTTGTAAAGTTATTTGGTTGGCAAATGCATTGTGTCGCTTTTTGTTTGAGTTCACTTTCCGTAATTTGTCTTATGATAAAACTTTGAAGTAATACGAGGTGAAGTGAAAAAATGAATACATGCACTTTGCATTCCTCTCAATTTTTCACAACAGTTTGTTTCGACTAGTTTTCGTCAGGATCTATGATCTTTATCATAATAAAATATTTAATGCATGTTTACAGATTCAAATACAACAGATTTAAAAAGATCAAAAAAAGGCAGCAGTTGAAGATCTTTTTTAATTTTTATCAATAAAAATTTTAATTTGCCTGTCTCAAAGACTCCGCTTTCATTCAAGCTCGAATTGTTTAATTTTTTGAGCCTATTGAAAAAGCTTCAGAGCTTCTACTCTCTCCGCTCCATCCATTAAAACGTGCTCCATTAGCCAACCTCTATCGTTGAACAATAAAAGTTGTCGAATTAAAAGAATTTCATGGTAATAATTGAATTTAAGTCATTAAAAAATTGTTATAATTTGAGATTAATATATCCGAACATGGAAGGTTATTTGCATATTCAGGGTAATTTTTCAATAATTTTGTATATAAATTTGCAATTGCATAAATAGAATATTGATTTTCATGCTCAATAATGCTATAGAAAATTTCCTTCTTATATAAAACTGAGCTTTGAAAGAATTCAACGTCGAGAACATTGTTTTTAATCAAAGAAATCAATGTATCGATAATATAGAGTGGATTTTCATTGTTTTGTATGAAACGTAATATGTCATCAATTGATCGAAAAATATCGATAAATAAAGATATTGTATGTTTTTAAAGCGTTAAAATGTATTAATTTGAATGCAAAAATGAAAAAAATCTGGTTGATATTTTGCGCCATATATGTGAACAAATTTTCCAGTAGTATCAGATCGATTTTATCGATATTTGAACAAGTGATATTTTGTATTGAGAAATTTAATATTGTTTCATTTTGGATAGATTGCTCGATAATTCATTGAAGAAGAGTCTATAGAATAGCTTAAATTCTGAGAGATATCTAAAATATAACTTAACAAAGAAGATTCGTCATGATAAATAGATTCTGAAAGTTCAATTTCAATCGGAAGGTTGAGATTCTGATCATTGATGAATCTGGAAGCAACAGAAAGTATGTATTGCTTATATGTCATAATTCCAAATATTGACATTTAAAATTAACATCATTCTTCCAAAAATTGAGCGAAGCTCAATTTTTGGAAGAATGATTGGAATTCTATATTCCTTCAATAATGTTCCACCACAGTTGTCTGAAAAACCCTCTATAAATTTTTCTGTAAACTTCATAAAAAAGTGAAAAAAGTGAATGTCTTTGAAAAGCAAATAAGAATTTTTTATTAATCAACCTGCTAAATAAGTAGTCAATTTTTTTGGTTTTATTCAAACTATTAATTTCATGTCTTTGATCAACTCTTCTCCTCTCCTTGCCAAAGGTGCTCAAATGACAAAGAAGCATCTTGCGCCCAAGTCGCAAGCCAATTTAGAATCAGGATTACGCGTTTATCAGAGAATTTTAGCTAAAACTGATTTTAATAAGCCAATTTTCCCTATTACACTTGAATCTGCTGAAATATTCTTACTTGCATATGTAAAAGAAAACCTAACTGCCACAATTTCTACGTTGCAAAACCATATTTCTGCATTAAGACAGAAAATAAAAGAAGATTCTTCATTTGATTACACAGAAACTTATCAATTCAAATCGTTCGGAATACAAAAGATTTTCTTTTAGAAGAAGATTTGAAAAAAGCTTTATGACACATATGTAGATGAACCCTCAGAAATAACTTTCATGGCGCTCGGATCTTTACTTTTTTTCGGATTTTTAAGAATATCTGAAGCTTTAGATCTCCAAAAAAGGATGTTTCATGGGACAAAGACGGAAGAATTATTCTTACTTTACGTCAGACAAAAGCCTCGCAGATTAAGCCCGTCGATGTTTACATTACTAAAGATGAGCATTATTTCAATCCTCATATATGGTTTTGTAAATTTTACTCAGAAGTTTTCAACCGCATGCTTCCTTCAATGAAATTCTTCCCAAAATGTTATTCTTATTACCGAAGATTTATTCTCAGACATCTTGAGCATGCTGGTGTAACTGGAAATTATGGTACCCATTCATTTCGTAAAGGTGCCGCACATGAAGCATCTTTACATTTTTTACGTGACAATCAGATAAAATCTTTAGGTCGGTGGCATTCAGAATGCTACACTATATATACAAATGTCACACCCATTGAAGTGGCAGATGTTTTTGCCCAAAAAATGAACGAATAAAGACTTCATTTTTTTTACTTATTTTCTGAAGTTTACAAGAAAAATTGAGAGGGTTTGGAAGAAAACTGTGGTAATATTATTGAATGAAATAGAATTAAAAAATATATTTATATAACAATAGTTGTGACACTTTTTACGGGCTTATAAATAAGCCCAAAAGTATCAAGCAACTATTAAAATATATTTCAGCCTATTATCAAGGCTAAATTTTTCACCGGAAGCGGATCAAAAATTAATAAGATTTACGGTGAACCAATTATGACACTCATGTAATTTGTGATATTACCCAGATATAAACACAACTGATATTACACAGCTAATAATTGAGTCAAATAACGAAATTGTGTATTACATTATACTTATATTTATTAAATTTTGTAGTAAATGAATGCTTAATCCTTTATTATAATGAATTCGACTTTAACATCACAAAAATATGTTATTTGCTATATTAAAACGTAATTTCCCGCAGAATCTGATAGTACACACCAAAACAAATCATTTAGTGGTCTTTGAATTGAAAAATATGCAATACCAAATCTATATTCATTATTTTAATATTATTAATCCTTTCTTTGCAAAAATATTCAACTTCAAAGAGTATTATGCTTTACCTAGTAATGACCTTGAATTTTCAAAAAACAATAAAAGTGAAATATTAAAGATTGGATTTCAATCCCGGATTATTTGCAAAAAAGTGACAACTACACCACTGTTCATACTGCTTGCTGTATTTTATATATCACAAAGCTTTGAACACTAGATGATTTAATCTATTTAATTAGTAAATGTTATGATTTAGTTTCTTAAAATCAAAAGTATTTATTGAAGAAAAAATGAATTGAATAGCAAAAAGTCAAAAAAATGTAAACAAATTAGATTTTTAATGGAACAAATGTTAATTTTTCATTCACATTCTCATTTTAGAAAAAATTTGGAAAGCTCAGAAGCCTTCTAATTCAATCATTGGTAGTCTAACGTTGATTATTTGATAATGCCGAGCCATATTACCATTCTTTGGAATCGAAATAATATTGTAACGCATCAACAAGTTAAACAATACGACAAAATTTACATATGATATGTTTTCATCGAATTATCATCTACCTTTGGTATTAAATTAAAATATCAATATATTTTAGTAGTTATTGGATTCAATATGATAGTCATTGAGTTACATTGTACTAAACTCAATTGCTTTACAAAATTAATCGTTTACAAACTACAAAAAACTAACAATAACTTTACTTTGTAAAAAAGTGCGTCATTTTTATTCGTTATACTTACAGAATGCAAACATTACGAGAAATATTTACATTTGTAAATGCAACAAGTAAGTATATCAGATTTTAAATGTAAATGTAGTTTATCTCTCTCATATCCTTTTTAAACGATATAAAATGCATTCGAACACATGCACTACCAAATAATTAACGTAAACATAACTTAGGAAAGGCTCCATTCGTAATTTAATTTTTCGACTTATATTTCGACAATTTGAAATCGCTTGAAAGGCTTGCTATTGATTAAATTCGGAAAATATAACCTAATTATGTATTATATTGTTGACTTAAACTATTATACAAATATGTTTTTCTAAAAATTTAAGAAGATATAATTTTGATTTCGCCAAATTTATGTAATTCATATATCACCAAAATATTTGAACTACATTTCGTGATGCATCATGTATCATACTCGTAAAACAGTATTATCTCCTTAATAAACCGCTTAGTCTATTCTTTGAGTCATTTGAAAACTAACTATGTTTTTCAAACGTAGTTCATTTAATACACCGACTAACATCATTATCATTTTCACTACAGAATTGTAAAATTTAGAATATAACGGAAATAATTGATATAAAAGTATCAAAGATGAAACTTAAAAACAGATAGTTTGAAATACCTAGTCCATCATACTAGTAACAACAACTTAGATTTTATAAATTCAGAATAATGGTGGAATTATGATTCAGAAATGAACAAATATTGAGTTTAGATACAAAGTATCAGTCATAAATTCATATACTTATCAAAAAAATATTTTATGAATGAGATAATAAGCAAATTTAGTTATTTCATTGAATTCTCAATCCGAATATCTTTCATTTAGGATGAATAATAAAACCATCTATAGTCCTGAGATACAGCCATGAGTTGTAAAGCTAGCAGACTGATATTGAGAGTGGAATCCCTTCTTTTATTCCGAAAATAGAATTTTAAACAAATATATGAGGAGCACCACATTTGTAGTATGAATTCTAACTCCCTTTGGGTGGGGTTCATGGCGAAATCACTTCTTCTCTCATTCTTTGATTTTTGAAATAATTTGAGCTCAATTCCGTTACCGAAATTTGACTTTAAATTTATCTATAGAATTCAAAGACACTAATTTGGGCATCATTAAAATTATTATTTATGAAGATTTTGACACTGCCCTAACGCCAGAATTTTTGTAATGCCTAAATCTTCACGCCCAAGCACTGCTGGATCAGGTGCTAGTGGTGGAAGTGAAGGAGGATCTAAACATCGTTCTCATTCCAGAAGAAAAACCGAAGCCGAAGCAGAGGATGATTTGACTCCTCAAAAAAAGACTTCAGATCGCAGAAATACAACAGAAGATTCACCACTCAAGACGAAAAAATCACGTCGTAAAACAACTACAGATGTAGATGAAGCAGATGGAGAAAATAATTCTAAAGATACTAAAAAATCGAAACTACATAAGAAAAAATCAACTAAAAGCGGAAATGCAGAAGAAAATAATGATGCTGCTCATGACGAATTAAAGAAAAAGAAATCATCAACGAAATCTGGAACTGCTCAAGAAAAGAGCAGTACGGTAACCAAATCAATAACGAAAACAGTTACAGTTAAGCGTCGTCGTAGGAAAGGCGACAATGGACCTGGTGAAATTGTCGAAACTAAAGTTGAGGCGTGACCAGGCAAAAAGAAGCGTCCAGCAAAGCGAATTATTAAAAAGGTCGTTATAAGGAAGCACAAGCATAAAGCTCGCGAAGAAGAACCAGAACCCGAGCCAATCATCAAAGTTATCAAAAAGAAAGGCAAACGCAAACCAAAGAAAATCGTACAAAAAGTTGTTGTTAAGAAGCGTGGTGCCAAGGGTACCACAGCTTCTGATGCAACTGCACCAAAGAAATCAATCCGTCGTAAAGGCGGTAAGAAAGTACAAATGGTCACAATTGTTAAGACAAGGACCAACCCAAAGACAGGAAAGAAGGAGAAGTACGAGGTAGAAGTTCCAATCGATTCACAAGAAGCTATTGATGCAGGCGTTGGCAAAAAACTTAAGAAAGGAAGGAAACTTAGAAGAGGAAAGAAGGGATCTACAGAAGCTGCAGCAACAACCACAAAGAAGCACATTATCAGAAAAGGTGGTCGATTGGTCAGGAGAACTATCAAAATCATTCGAAGGAAAGTTAATCCTAAAACTAAGAAAGAAGAACTTGTTGAAGAACCAAAAGTCATCCGAGTCAGACTACGGAAATCAGATCCACCAAGTGTTCAACAGTCTCTCATTGAAGCGGCTGGTATCCGTGCATGTGAAAGATCACAATTACTTGTTGAAAAGAAGAAAGGCCGTAGAGGTAAAAAGAAAGGAAAGAAAATTGTCCGTAAATTTGTCACCATTGTTCGAAGAGTTGTTAATCCCGATACCGGCAAAGAAGAAGTTGTTGAAGAGAAGAAACTCGTTGAATGCGAAGTTCTTCCCGAAGCATCTGCAGACATAGAAAACCAACTTGTCGACAAAATGACAGTCGAAGCTACAGAAAAGAACATGAATGAAGAAGAGAAGAATCGTCAAAAGAAAGACAAGAAACGAGGCAAGCGTAGAATCATTCACAAGATCATTGAAGTGATTAAGAAACGAACTAACCCAGAAACAAACGAAGAAGAAGTCAAAGAAGAAAAGCAAATCATCGCTGTTTCTGTTCCGGAAGAAAATCCACCAAACTTAGACAATGAAATCATCCAAGACATTGCTAAAGAAAGTGCTATCAAATCACAGATCGAAGAGAACAATGCAACTGGTTATTCATCTAAAGATGTTGCAAGTGAATTCATCACTAATTCTATCAAACAAATCAATCCAGAAACTGGAAAAGAAGAAATCATCGAAGAACTTAAGTTAGTTTCAGTTAATGTTAACAAAGGAAGCAGTCCAGAAGAGAGATCTAAAGCTATCACGGATATTGCAAACGAAGCTATGCAAAAGGAAGATCTATCAACTGTCGTCAAGAAGAAGAAAGGAAAGAGAATTGTTCGAAAGATCATTAAAATTGTCAAGAAGAAAGTCAATCCTAAGACTGGCAAAGAAGAAATCTGTGAAGAAAACAAAGTTGTCGGTGTTGAAGTTGATGACAAATCACCACCAGAAGTTGTCGAGAATCAGATCGAAAAAGCACTTCTTGATATTCAAAACAAAGAGAATGAAGAAAATCAAGAAATTTTAGCCCAATTTGATGCCAAAAACGAAGGTATTGACATCCAAACAACACGTGCACGAAGAAAGAAGAAAGTTATTGTCCAGAAATTCGTCAAAGTTATCCGAAAAGTTGTCAATCCAAAGACAGGTAAAGAAGAAGTTGTTCAAGAAAAGAAATTGATTAATGTTGAAGTTCCAAACGACATTCCACCATCAGCTCAGAACCAAGAATTACAGAAAGTTGCTAAAGACCTTGTTTCTACAATGAGTTCTGATTCCAACAATGAAATATTCCCTAATTTCGTTACCGTTGTTAAGAAATCACGAGATCCAGTGACAGGTAAAGACATTTTTGTTGAAGACTTGCAGTTAATTGCCGCCGAAGTTCCTAAGAATTCAAGTCCAGATGCCAAAGAGAAAGCTGTTGAAACACTTGCACAAGAATCGATGAAGAATGAAATTGATATTAGTCAGATTCCTAATGCTAAAATTGCATCTCAGTTTGTTACGGTTGTTCAGAAGGAAGTAAATCCAGAAACAGGCTTAGAAGAAGTTTTCGAAAACAAGCAGTTAGTTTCACTTGTTATTCCACAGAACACTCCTCCAGAAATTGAACAACAAGTCATTGACAATGTTTCATCTGAAGTTATCAAACAGAAATCAGATGAAATCAGCAAGTCAGACATCGACAGTAACGGTGACAAAACCGTTGTCGAAGTTGATCAACAAACAGGCGAGATTCGCAAAGTTAAGCGTAAAGCTAAACCACGACGTGTTGTTCACAAGATCATCAAGACGGTTAAGAAAGTAACTAATCCAATTACAGGCAAAGAAGAACTCAAAGAAGAGAAGCAACTTGTTGCAGTTCAAGTCCCAATTGATGCATCGCCATCAGAAGAATCACAGCAGCTCGAAGAAGTTGCCGCTGAAATGATTGAAAAGAAGCAAGAAGAGAAAGAACTTCATGAAGCCAAGCAAACCGGAGAAGAAATCGTTTCAGATGTTGACCGTAAGACAGGCAGAAAGATTCTTCGTAAGAAGAATCCTAAGAAACGAATTGTTCACAAGTTCATCACTGTTGTTAAAAAGAAAGTTAATCCAATGACTGGCAAAGAAGAACTGTTTGAAGAAAAGCAGTTAGTTGCCGCTGATGTTCCTATTGATGTTCCACAAGAAGTTGCAAATGCACAAGTCGAAAAGCTTGCTGAAGAAGCGATCGATGAAGAGAACAAACGCAAGGAGTATTTAGAAGACAAACACGCAATGCAGAATGGTGAAACAGATGAACAACGAATGGCCCGTAAACGCCGTAGAAAGCGTGTTGTCCATAAATACGTCACTGTTGTTAAGAAACGTGTTAATCCAGTTACAGAGAAAGAAGAATTGATTGAAGAGAAGCAATTAGTATCTGCGGAAGTTCCTCGTGAAACACCACCAGAAGCTGCAGATGCAGTTATTGAACTTATGGCAGCTGCACAAGTTCAGAAGAGTTCGGCAGAAGAAGAAAAGCGATTCCCACGCAAGAAAGGACGTCGTGTTGTTCACAAATTCATGACAGTTGTTAAAAAGAAGGTAAATCCATCAACAGGTAAAGAAGAAGTTGTTGAAGAGAAACAGTTAGTTGCCGCTGAAGTTCCACAAGAGAGCAATCCATCAAATGATGAAGCTGCTATCGAAGCAGTTGTATCTGAACAAGTTTCTAAAGAACAACAAAAGAATGAAGAAGCTAATGAAAAGATTTCATCTCTCACCGGCAAGAAACCAGCTAAAAAGAGAATTGTTCAGAAAGTCATTGTTGTTCCTCGTAAGAAGTTCAATCCGCAGACAGGCAAAGAAGATATTGTTAACGAGAAGCAGCTTGTTGCCGTTGAAGTTCCGGTTCAATCATCAGACAACGAATCCAAGCATGTCTTGGACGAAATTGAGAATCTCCAGAAATCCGGAAAACGTCCAATCCGAAAGATGATTCCAGTTGAACGATACACAGTAGACAGCGACACTGGTCTTGACAAGAAGTACATTGACACTGTTGAGATTGAGTTCTCAGAAGATGATCCCGATGGCGAGCGTAAGGCGACTGAAGCAGTTTATCAACATATTCGTGATGATTACCTTCAGAAACGACAGATTTACAATCAGAACAAACAGGCGGAAAATGATAAAGTTCGCGCTCAAATGCTTTCTATGCAGAAGGCCGCTCTTGAAGAGAAGAAGCGTCTTGAAGAAGAGCAACAACGTATTAAACTTCTTGAATCGCAAAAATCAAATGATGAAAGTCAATTTGAAGAAGAAGAGGAAGAAGAAATCATTGATGAAGAAGAAGAAATCATCATTGAATACTCAGAAAGCGAATCTGCACCTAAAGAACCAAAGAAACCGAAAGTCATCATTGAATACTACGAAGAAGATGAAGAGGAAGAAGTCGAAGTCCATAACATCACCGTCGAAGTTGATGAAAATGGAAATGTCTTGAATGCTAATGACAAAGTTGACGGAAAGAGTCAATCTCCTATGTCCATGTACAAAGCAGGAACAAACATCAATGATATCATTAAACAAATGGGAGATAACGTCATCCAGAAAGAGGTTACAATTGACGAAAACGGAAATCCTATTCAATAATTTTTTAATGTTTTTTATAAAAAAAATAATCTCATGTTTTTATAATCAGCTTTAAAGTATCATTTTCTCAGAAAATTTGAGAAATATGTTGTTCTATGGCATTATGGATATCCTTAGAAAAAGTTTCCTTTACTTATAGAACTCTAAGTTTCCTTTACTTATAACCCATAAAAAATTGAGAATATCACGCTTTAAAAAATTGGCTTGGGATCCTCTTTTATTATTAGATATAAATCTTTAATTTTAGATTATTAGGAGTTTTTAATGTTTAGTAAATTAATTAAGAAAAGATTTTTTTGATTTAGATGGTTATCTTTCGTGCCCAAAACGATTATTTTGAATTGAATTTGGGCTTTTTTGGGCCACATTTATTTATGGGATGGTAGCAATTATTTCAGCGTGTGAAACATGCATTTGATAATTAATATTTTAAGTAATAAACTAAACATATAAATTGTATATAAGTCCTTATAATATATATCATATTAATTTTGATTTTTATTCAGCAGATCACGAAATAGGAAATCAAAAATCGTCAATTTTGCAAAAAATTGAGGGCCTTTTTTGGCGAACTGGACGACGATTATTTTTAAGGTTTTATATATATTTAAAATTTAATTTTATATTTATTATATATATTACATTCAAATTGTAATGTTAAATCCATTTTTGTATTAACTTCGATTTTCAAAGAGTTAGCAACTTTATCTTTGGAATGGCTTAGTACATTAGACTAAGCACAATAGTATAAGAAAATATATATTAAACCAAGATAAAGTTTTAAATATAATTACTTGAGTTTCTTGATGATGTTGATGTTGTTGAGATTCGTCTAAATTGGATAATGCTATTTACATAAGAATTATTAGGAAGTGGTGGGTATAATGGTTGTGGAAATGGTTTCTAATAAGTTTTTTACTGGTTTAATTGATTTGATATTGTAATGATTCATATTTAGCGCCAAAACTTTCTCATTTTTTATTCAATATAAAAATTTGTAACATGTATGTAGAAAAATTTTATGAGCAACCAATGTTAACACCAGAAGAACATATGACTGTTTCATAGATATATGTATAATTAATAGCCTGAATTTAAATAAAAGTTCTTTGGAAAGAGAATTGTTACAAAAGATTCCCAAAACTGATTCATATTATAAGGGAATTACTGATGCAATAGGAAAACAAATCAAAGGAAAGACACTTGCAAAAATTAAGGAAATCATTAAAATTTATTAGAATGACTCATATTGTCATTTGTTAATATATATCAATAGATTGGGAATACCAACTGATTCAACATTTGAATTACTAAAGACTTTAATAAATGTTCTAATAGTATATAAATCAACCACAAGAGCAATTCCAACAATGATCAACCATCATGAACCATTTATGATTCCAGCACAGCAAATTGATGTTAGAACATTAAATAATGGATGTGTTAATGATGGTGGAATTGTTAGCGATTTCACATATGCACTACATAATGTTACTGATATAGTATGTGTATTTTCAAATGATCAATCTTTGAGAAGAGTGTTTAGGAATCCAATGTTGAGCAACTTATAAGTCGCAAGTAAAGTAATTTCAAAAAGTGACACTTTACATTGCAAAAATGTAGTATTTTAGGTGTTATTAATCTTTTGAACGAATGTTTGGCATTTTCATCTTTAAATTGAAGTCCTGTTCATGGTCATCAATAAACCATACAAGTCTTGCTTCAATGTCATATTTTTTTCAAAATTTTAATAATCTTGTGGCAAAAAGTGGGAAACAGTATAAAGATTGAAAAATTGCAAAACGTTCCCACTTTTTGAGAGGGACGTTTTGCACATCCTCCAATAATCTTCTATGCATGAAAGAAAAAATTTGCAAAACGTCCCTCTCAAAAAGTGGGGACGTTTTGCACACCATCATAAAGACTAATCGGTAGAGTCCATTTTATTGGAAGCATATCGGAGCCAGTCTTCTTGAATATGGTCATCTTTGGTCATTAAATGTTAGTTATTTATTTTTTACTTTTTTATTTTTATTTTTACTTTTATTTTTTTTATTTTTTATTTTTATTTTTGTTGCATAGTAAGATCTGTCAATGGTGTAAACCATTCAATTCTATCGTCGAGGAAGTAACACAATTTTCTCAATTATTTTGATGAATTATTGAAAATAAAATTAGGTTTAATAAATTGGTTATATATAGATAAATGAGATTTCCAATTTTAGAAATTATGAGGTTTTGAGAGCACTTTTCAGAGATGTATGAATTATAAGTATAGAAATATTTATTAGCTATTATGATTTATTATATAAAGATAAATATAATTTTTAATTTAAAAAATTTTTGGGTTTTGAATAGGTTTTCAAAAGTGAATAATTATAAATTAATTGGTAAATATGAATAGGTTTTATTAATAGTGAAATCTTAAGTAGAAAAAAATTGAAATGTTTCTGAAAAAGGAAAATGAAAGTAGCTCAATAAAGGAATTAAAGGGTAAGAGGCATATATTTATAATGTATACCTCTTACCCTTTCATTCCCTCGAGAAAGTTCAAAAACTTGGGTGCAATCAGAACTGATTGCACCCAAGTTTTTGAACTTTGTATAAGGAATTGCTGGCTATGATGTACTGATCATGTATCAGTACATCATAGCCAGCAATTCGTGTCTTCAACCAAGAATCATATTATAAAGTCTTCCAATACTAGGTAATTTATAGAACCTTCAGAGAGAGAACTGTTGCTTACAAGGATGTGATCTAAGATTTTCAACTTGAAGGCAGCATTTCTCTCTCTGAATGCCATTAACTCGAATTTTAATTTTTAGGATTTAGTAATTTTTCATTTTGAGAGGCAACTATAGAAAAATTGAATATCCTTCAAATGTTAAATATTTAAAAACATAAAATTATCATAAGACGAAATGGTGGAAGTGAACTCAAAATAAGAGTAATTAGGTTATTTTGCCGACCAAATATATTTACAAGGCAAAATATCATATTACATGTCAACCTATTATCAGTATGTTTTGATAAAAAAATTTTATCAAATATTATATTAAAATTAACATCTATATCTATATCAATATCTACACTATAAATTTTTTTATTCAATATCATAGATTTCAAAAATTTATTTCAATTTTAAATTAATTTATGGTTTTCATCAAAATTGTTTTTTATTAAAAAGCATGTTTCACAATTTTTACGGTTTCTTTCAAAAGTTATAAAATTTCAGATGAGTCGAAAGATCTACGATGTAATTGATATAAATTGGATTCAATCTGCAATTGAACAAATTAATCAAGGTCAAAAACTCAAAACAATACTTAGCAATGTCCAACTCACTGATGGACGCATTATACCATCAATATCTAAAAAACATTCCACTTAGCAATTAAATCAAATGGAATTCCTGACACAAAATTTAAACCAGGGCGTAAACCAATCGAACCACCTGAGGAATTATTAGATACAGTAAATAAATTACATCAAAAAGTTAAAAAAATCGGAATATCAAGAGCATACGGAAGAATTATTACCGATAAGGATATGTTAATTCAAAGGGAAACCGAAAATGCTAATCATGATTTAGATGATTTACCAATTTCACAATTAAATACAAATCCAATAGGTTTTTCAAATTCTTCAGAATATCTTTCTGAGTATACAAATTCTGATTCTGATTCATCAGCAGAAAAACTTTTTTCTTCCAATTCTTCCGAAGAAGATCCACAAATTGAGTCGGAATTATCTGAAGATCCATATATCGTTCATACAGAAACTACTCAAAATTTGGAAAAATCAACCGATTATTTTAACAAAAAATTATTGGAAACAAACTTTTCAGAAAGAACTGTAAAGAAGTGTTTCAAAATTCTGAATATCGTTCAACCTGCCAAAAATTCAGTACCAAAAGGAAAAACAAAATACGAAGCAGTATATATAAACTTAATATGGCATGTCGATATTCATTTTTTTAAACATCGTCAGGGTGAATATCTTTATGCGGTTATTGACGATAAATCCCGAAAAATTTTAGCATGGGCTCACTTGGAAACAAAAGAAGCTGCGCAAACAAGTAGAGTAATTGACCAATGTTTCCAAAAATATGGGAAGCCCTTTGCTATATGGAGTGATAACGGAACAGAAAATTTTGGGTTTTTTCGAAATTTATTACAAAATGCGAACGTTCAAAGTATTACAATTCTCCCACATTGCCCATATATGAATGGGAAAATTGAAAGGTTTTGGCAAAATGTGGAAATTGAAGACGCCACATGGAATGATATACAAAGTCTTATAGAAAATTACAATTCAAACCCACACACAAGTTTACCAAAAAACCCGACATTAGATACATGGTACACACATAACAAATTTTACGAAATTTCAGAAAAATATGATTCAAGTAAATTACCGCTTTGGATTGTAGATGGAGTTGTTAAAGATCTAAGAGAGTCAATAAGAAATTTCAACGCTTCAAGAAGGAATCAAAGAAATTGACGAAGTTCCAGAATTTTATTCAACAATTCTTAATCAATTAACAAAAGCTATACCGAAACTTATCTTACCATCCAAATCAAATCACATTACATACGGAATAAACATTTAATCTTTTACCATTAAAATTATATTTATACGTTATTTAATTTTTTTACGTCTAAGTTGAATAGGATAATAGCCGAAGATATAAAGTAACTATAGTTTACAAGCTAAGGAACAAATCAGCATTGAAACTAAAAAATGCTGAAATATTATAATAAATTGAAGAAATACTGTGATAGAATACCTAGTTATACTAGATACTATTATAATATGAATTCATTTGTATTGAATATCGATTAAAATAAGATGGAACGTCAATTTGACAGACTCAAGTTTCGAATTAGAGACCAACTTTCATCAGCATAGTATATGTGCGCAAACTACTGCATAATGGTATGCTTATCTTTTCATTTTAAAAAATAACGTATTTGAATAATTTCGTAAAAAATTAGAAT